ACTGATATTATGGCGAATCCCTCGGAATCTCCTGTTCACATTCCAAATGGTGAAATTATACCCGTTCAATCCATTGGCAACGCATGTCTACCAAATGGATTAACTTTGTCACGAGTTTTATACATACCCTCCTTTAAGTGCAATTTATTATCTGTCAACCGGCTTATACAGGAGCATAACTGTGCACTTATATTTCTTGGGGATTTTTGTGTCATGCAGGACTTACCCTCGAGGAGGCTGATTGGAGTGGGTAGGTGTCATGGCGGACTATACTACTTGGAGACTGGCGATCGAGTGGCAATGATGGTTTCTTCACAGTATGAAATTTGGCATCGGCGTTTGGGGCATGCTTCTGATGAAAAGCTCCAACACATTGAGATATTATGAGGTTCCAAAAAGAACACTTCATTTTGTGATTCTTGTGTTCGGGCCAAACAGACTCGCCTCCCTTTTCCCAGTAGTTCTATTAAAACACAACAGAGTTTTGATTTAATTCATTGTGATATCTGGGGTGGATATAACTGTCCTTCTCTTACTGGTGCACATTATTTTCTTTCTATAGTTGATGACTTCACGCGTAGTACATGGGTTTATCTTATGACCTCTAAATCTGATGTGGCGCATTTTTTAGTGCATTTTTATAACATGATTCGCACTCAATTTGGGCGGATGATCAAACGCATTCGTAGTGACAACGGGGTTGAGTTCCAATCTCACGTCTTGCTCGATTTTTATAGCGCACAGGGAATTCTGCTAGAATTATCCTGCACCGACACTCCTCAGCAAAATGGAGTAGTGGAACGCAAACACCGACATATTCTAGAGGTGGCCAGAGCCTTACGTTTCGAGTCAGGATTGCCCATTGAGTTTTGGGGGGAATGCATTCTTACAGCTGTCTATATAATAAATAGATTGCCTGCGCCTGCAATTTCAAACAAAAGTCCCTATGAATTGCTTTTCCAAAAACCGCCGGATTATAAGCACCTTCGTGTCTTTGGATGTCTTGTTTATGCTCATGATAACAAAAGAAAAGACAAATTTGGTGAAAGGGGGAGTCCGTGTATTTTTATAGGTTATCCAACCGGACAAAAGGCCTATAAAGTCTTTGACTTACACACTCACAAAATCTACAGCTCTAGAGATGTTACTTTTTTTGAGGATATTTTTCCTTTCAAAAATGCATCCAATAGTGAAAATCAGTCATTTGATATGAGTGTACGCATGGCGATCGCACGTGTCATGGATACACCCCCTTACGCAGCACCATCACCACGCCCTGTGATACGAGGATCCTCATCAAATTTGTCTCATCCTCCTATGCTTACTCCAGCAAATGACGTACATCATGAGGACACGTCAAACTCCACTACCGTGACAGCACCAACGCCCCAACTTACTGAAGAGCACATCAGTTTGGGTCCAAGAAAGAGTGATCGCATACGCCGTCAGCCTGGGCACCTGGCACAGTTCGATACGTCATTGCCACCGTCTCTCGCTCACCCGACACCCCCCTCCAATGCAGCTCACTCAACGGTATATCCTCTTACACAATTTCTATCATATGAAAAATTTTCCCCCACTCACCGTGCTTTTTTAGCGGCCATCACATCACAAGATGAGCCCACATCTTTTTCTCAAGCTGTACAGGATCCTTTATGGCGCGAAGCTATGAAAAGGGAGATCAAAGCACTTGAAGATAATGAGACATGGATATTGGTTCCATTGCCTCCTGGGAAGAAAGCTATTGCATCCAAGTGGGTCTATAAAATTAAATACAGACCAAATGGAGAAGTTGAGCGCTATAAGGCGCGCCTCGTAGCAAAAGGGTTTACTCAAGTTGAAGGCATAGACTTTCATGAAACTTTTGCACCTGTTGCCAAATTAGTTACTGTTCGGTGTCTATTGGTTGTTGCGGCCAAATTGAAGTGGACTGTTCATCAACTAGATGTAAACAATGCTTTCTTGCATGGTGATCTGCATGAAGATGTCTATATGCGCATTCCACAAGGTTTCTCCAAACAGGGTGACACTCGTGTCTGTCAGCTCAAAAAGTCCTTATACGGATTGCGTCAAGCCTCCAGAAATTGGTATAAAAAATTTATTAGTGCCCTCACACTCATTAAATTTCGCCAATCCAGGGCTGATCATTCTATGTTCATTTATCAACGGGGAGATATTTATACAGTAGCCCTCATCTATGTGGATGATGTTATTCTTGGTGGTAATGATACCAACCATATTGCTCATGTTAAGCATTACCTTGATACTCAGTTCTCCATCAAGGATCTTGGCCCTATCAAATATTTCCTAGGCATCGAAGTGGCCCGATCGCCTACCGGTTTCTTCCTTAGCCAGAGGAAATACACTTTAGACATATTACGGGAGAGTGGCATGCTTGGTAGTAGACCAAGCTCATTTCCTATGGAACAAAACCTCAAATTACGGCCTGATGATCCTAGTGCTCCAGTTGATGCTGCCATGTACCGACGATTAATCGGTAGATTACTATATCTCACAGTCACACGGCCTGACATTGTTTTGCCCGTCAATCAATTAAGCCAGTTCCTTTCTCATCCACGCCAGACACACCTTGATGCTGCGTATCGAGTACTTCGATACCTGAAAGGCACACCAGGAATGGGTCTTATCCTCTCCTCACAAGATCAGTATACTTTAGAGGCCTATTGTGATGCAGATTGGGCCGGTTGTTCTTTCACTCGGCGCTCTACCTCCGGATACTTCATCACTTTAGGAGGTTCGCCCATATCATGGCGTACAATAAAACAAACTGTGGTGTCGCGCTCATCTGCGGAAGCAGAATATCGCTCCATGGCTATTACCGTTAGTGAGATCATCTGGTTACGTTGGTTACTTCGTGATTTTGGGATCTTTGCTTCTGCCCCCACACCACTATTTTGTGATAACCAGGCTGCACGTCATATTGCTACCAATCCTGTATATCACGAACGCACCAAGCACGTCGAGATGGATTGTTATTTCGTTCGTGAGCGTGTCACCAGTGGTGAGATTCAACCGGAACCCATTTCTACTCAACATCAAGTTGCCGACATCTTCACCAAAGCACTCGGAAGTGACCAGTTCCAATACCTCCGTGGCAAGCTTGGCGTTCGAGATCTTCACACTCAAGCTTGAGGGGGAGTGATACGAGACAATAGTTTTTTTGATATGGTCAATAATAGTGGCATTCCATGTATGGAATATACGTACCATATTCTTACCATATGGAATATGTGTAAATCACATGTGATATATTTTTATTCTTTCCATATCATTGTATTAGACCATTAGTGCTTAGTATAAATGGTAGCATCGTCCGTATGTAATATTCATTCTAAATACATGAAACAGTTACTATCTCACCCTCTCGTTCAGTTCATACATGCTTCGTTCCTTTTTAGTTTTACATCTTAATATAAAAAAGCATTTACATATAACACATGCTATATTCAATTTTCCCCTTATTTTATACACATCTCATTCGAGATTGCAGGTTTTGATTTTTATATGAAATAGAAACACAAATTTTATGTAACCTTCTTCAATAATCTTTGAGAGCAGCTGCTATGGAACATGAGTCGGCTCGAAGGAAATCCTATGTGGCGAGCTCCTAGACGATCTTAGGTTCTGATTTCTCCTCGGTCTCCAATTGACAAGAGTGATGGTGACGTTCTTGGGTAGTAATGAATCAAAAGTTTTGTCGTGCTGGCGTGCTGCCTCTTTTTTTATTTCTACCTTTCAGGGTTTTGGTCTGACATCTTCTTTGTCGAGAGTTATGTCAGCTTCAGGTGAGCGTGAGATGATTAGTTTGTATCCTAGCAATGTTTAGAGGTTGTGTGTTCTCGTTGGTGTAACCGATCGAATGGTGAAATATTCACTGTTCATGATTGATTCAACCTAATTCTTTTGAAATTTCAACTACTCACCCTCCTCCTAAATCACTGTCTCACATTGAGAGAGAGGGAGAGAGTTAGCATTCAACTGGATCTCCTTTTCTGTGGTTGATCAAATTGATTATTCAGCCAATTTCTACTCGATTGAGTTTCCTTTGTTTGTTGTTAGTCAAACCAATTCACCATTTTTGATGGCTGGTAAAACCTGATCTTTAATTTGTGTTTCTTCTTCTTCGTAGCAGCAAGACATGTACTGTTAGATTAGACTACATTATTGTGGTTCAAATGTTTCCACAATTTTTTTATTTCATAGTGGCCGATTGTGGTTATTATGAAACTTGACCAAGCTTATTACCCTATAATTTTCAGCAACAGAGGTCACTGTTACAGGCGGTGGTGATCAGTGACGGAGAGTGGTTATTGTGTATGGGTGATGATCACTGAGTCATTAGTATCTATGAGGCGGAGTTATTGTTGTGGAGTTTTTGCACATTAGTTAATTTGTAGTAAAAATTTTAATTTGTCATTTCCACATTTGTCATTATTGATGATCACTGTGTATGGTTCCTAACCCCTAACATACGAGATATGTCATTTCCATTCAAACAAAGTACTTTCTCATTCCCAAATAAATTTACGATTTGCAAATTTTAAATTTGATTGATGATAATTTAAATCTTCTATGTTAATAATGAAATCAGTTTTACTAATTAAAATTTACATGATCCAAAACTATTTTAAAAGCTCTATAAAGTATAAAGGATGTTTTGTTTTGGACTGTTTTTAGTCCCGGACCAGACCAGATCAGACTAGATCAGACCAGATCATACTATATCAGACCAGATCAGATCAGATCAAACCAGACCTGACTTTCGTAGTTATAAAATACACAGAGACAAGTCGTTTACCAGACAAGACCAGATCAGACCAGACCTGACTTCCGTAATTTCGTAGTTATAAAATACGCAGAGAGTAGTCATTTAGGAGACCAGATTAGGCCATATCAGACCACACCAATAAATTCCACTCTAAAAGAAAATATCCAAGGTGTAATCAAATTTCATTTCAACCCAAAATTGAATTGGACTCATCACTCTCTAGCTGCCGCCATCCCCACAAGGCTCATTATATTTATGACTTCTGCTCGTCACTTTCACATTTCAGATCAGATCCTCCTTCCCCTGCACTCAGATCCAATCACCCACAAATCCCACATGATAATTCACCAGAAAAATGACAAATTCTTCTCCAGGCTTATATCCAAGGAAGAAAGATCCTCTTCTTCTTCATCCCTCAGATTCTTCTACTACGGAGATTCCTCCAAAGGCTCTGTTCCATTCCGCTGGGAATCTCAGCCGGGCACCCCCAAACACGCCCTCTCCTCCGCCTCTCTGCCCCCGCTCACTCCGCCGCCGTCCTACCAATCCTCCGCCGGACGAAATTTAAAATCCGCCGGCGGCGGCCGGAGCTCTTCCCGGTCCAACAACTTATCGTTCCCATTTTCCTTCCCAAGTTTTTCTTCCAAGAAAACCAACAATACCATCGCCCCTTCTCTGTCTTCTTCTTCGTGCTCGTCGTCGTTCTCGCTGCCGCCGTCAACCCCCCGGGAGGATCTCGCCGGCCGAGACGATGATGCGAGGGCGTCGTGCTTTGGCGGCCGCCGTGGTGCGGCGGACGGCGGGAAGATTTCCAAGAATCGGCGCGGCAGGTTATGGCTTTGCTTGAAAAATGTAATGATTTAATAATAAATGAATAAATAAATGCTTTCTTTGATTATTTCCTCTTTTTTTTTCCATTTTGAATAACATATGATAATGAAGTTGTATCTTAGCTTGTATATCCTCAATTTAGCTACTTCAGTGTAACAAAAGTGTACGGCTGAAAACAGCTCATGAGACTGTGCTGGATCTGAAAAGCACATGTTGTGTACAAATTCTGTTATTCCGTACATAATTGTTTCTATTTTTTTTTTATGTTAATCCCTTGGAAACTCAAGTTCCAGCAATGTAACAATTGTGTGTAACTATTAAAAATCAATCAATTAAGTTTTAATTTTGATACAATAAACCATCATTTCAAATTTTCTTTCACATTTGATGTATAATTGTTGGGAGTCGATTTCTTTCCGGCTCAGGTCTCCAACCCTTTTGCTATACTCTCACACACCATCCTAGGCTAGACCACAACACAACTCCAAGCTTCTTCTCTACCACTAAGGTATTCTCTCTAACTCTCACACAAAGGAAATGGAGAAGAAGAAGGGCACTGCTCTCTAGGAAGTCTCTCACGTAGGTTGCTCTCTCAAGGTAGAAGAAGAGCTACATAAATAATAGGCTTGCCAACAAGAGGACACTCACGGGTGATGCAAAGACAAGGAAAGACTGCAGCAGACAACTCAAGATGGGGTCACTCCACATAAGGCAATAGCCATATTATTGGTTAGGAAAGATTCAAACGAGAAGTGCCAAAGTGGGAGTAAACATGGGGTGCAAGTCAATAATAAAGTAGAAGGGAGGCCTTGGTAGGACCAATACCTCCAACATTCTCCACCTTATTGGTCCTAGGTGGTGTAGAGTAGCAATACAAAGTTGTGAGGAGACTCATCATCGCCGGATTATTACAAGTACATCATTGCGATCATACAAGTAATAGATGAGAACCAAAGTTCCCTTTCGGACCAAGCTTACCATGCAAACCCACTTCACGATGGACTGAACTCTACCAATCAGTCCTCGAGTTCAGAACCAAAACCATCACAAAACTATTAACAAGCACAACACATGTTAATAGACCACGCAAGCAAGCATCCGAGAGAAGTTGGGGATTCCAACTAATCCAACAACCACACATAACAAGCACAAAGAAAATAAAAGAAACAATATAATTTCTATAACTATCACAGGTAGAGCTCACATAATCACTTGGTATCACATTTTCAAAACACAAAGAAAATAGCATACCAAATATCACAAAGATTTTAATTAAAAGAGAATTAAGCACATTTAAAGCAAACTTAGAGGAAATATAGTCAAACACATTGCACATATAATTTCTCACATGCTTCCTAATGTCTCTATCTCTAATAACATGGCAATCACGCAACTCAAGCATATTGCACACAACATTCACATCATGCTCCACCTTAATAGAAATATTATTTTCTCTATTTTCACCATGAAAAACATTTTCATCCACAAATTTGGGTTTGGTTTCAACAAGTAAATCAGAATGAACTTCAACAGACAAATGCTCCACCTCATTTGGAGCAACATCAGGAGAAACAAGCAAGCAAGGAAATTCATTTTCAACAAAAATGACATTTCTACTCATCAACACATTGAAGCAAGTTTCACTCCTACACCAAAGCCTATAACCTTTCATGCAATCATGATATCCTAAGAAAACATATTCCTTAGTCCTAGGTTCAGATTTAACATTCAGACGATTTACATAAGCAGCACAACCAAACACTCTCAAATTTAGCAAGTTAAGTGGTTTGCCCGTGAACACAGATTCAGGGCATTTCCCTCCTAAGGGAACAGACGGGGACAGATTAACCACATCAACAGCATAACAAATAGCTTCCCCCCAGAACTTATTAGAGAGCCCAGATGAAGCTAACATAGCCCTCACCCTCTCTAATAAAGTTCTAACCATCCTCTCATCAACCCCATCCGGTTGGGGTGTGGAGGGAACAAATTTATGCATAGAAATACCCCAAGTATCACATAAATCACCAAGCTGATTATCACAGAAATCAAAACTGACAGTGGTCCTTAAAAAATTAATTTTCTTACCGGTTTGTTTTTCAACAAGGGTTTTCCAGTTTTTAAACTTATTAAAAACTTCAGATTTATTCTCAATCAACAAAACCCATACCTTCTTTGAAAAATCATCAATCAACGTCAGAAAATATTTTTTCCCACCATGAGTGGAAACACTTAGGCAGATCAAGCACATTAGTACACTTAGGCAGATCAGAAAAACCAACTCTAGACTGTTTTCCTAGCACACAGGGTTGCACACAATTCACAGAATCAAGTATGGGTTCAGCATGACAAACATACAAGTTGTTTTTCATCTCACCTTTGAAAACAACTAAACAACCCTTCACAACTTTCATGATTCCCTTTCCCCATTTTCCCTTCAAACCCTCATTTTCAAGAGAAGCACAAGATAGCAAATTACAACACAGCTCAGAAACATGCCTAACATTCTTCAAAGTAAGCACATAACCAGAAGAAAACCTAAGGCATACATCTCCTATTCCTAGCACATTGCATTTCTTCTCATTTGCTAAAGACACAAAGCCATGCTCAATCTCTCTATAGTTTGAGAAAACATTTTTCAAATGGGACATATGAAAAGTACAACCAGAATCTACCACCCAATCTGATTTACCCAAAGAATCAGATATCACAGAACTCAAATAGTCATAATCACATAGATTTTTCATCATAAAAACATCACCTAAATCATCTTCACACGTAGCCAAATCAGCATGCTCACTATGCTCATTTTTCCTAGATTTAGGACAGTCTCTTATGAAATGACCAGATTCGTGACAATAATAGCAACGCCTCGAATTAGACCTAGACTTAGATCTATGTCGTCTACTATTATTTTCTCTACCCCTCACATGCATAACTTCCTCGGATTTTCTACCCTCACCCATTTGTTTTAAATCTAATTCCTTACTCTTAAGACCATTTACCACAATGTCAAGAGTCACATTATCTCTACCATACTCAAGGTTGTTAAAATCGTATTTTTGAATCGAATCGGTAGATGTTTTTAAAAATCGAATCGTAAAATCGAATCGCAAATCGTAAGATTTTACCAAACATATTTTAATAATTATAAAATAAATAAATATTAAAATTAAATTGCAAGTTAATGATATTATATCATTTCATTACATAAAACTAAACCTAAAATGTCAAAAGCAAGATTTATAAACTGTTTTTATAATGTAAATGTATTGAATAATAACATTAAACATATGTAAAACATAAAAATAATTAAGTGACACAAGAATCCATTACTTTTATAAATAAACTATTCATATTATTATTATTGGAATTATGTATCAATTTGTAGTTGTTAATTTTAATAAATTTGAACCATTTTCACCAAAAACAACTTATTACGATTTTGCTACGATTTTATACGATTCTACACGATTTTAGGACGATTTTTTTTTACGATTTTGTACGATTTTATGATTTTACGATTTTACCTGCGATTTGAATCGCTTTATTAATGTAGAATCGTAAAATCGTACGATTTTACGATTTAAATCTAGATTTTAACAACCTTGACCATACTTAATAGCAGATTTCACATCACCAAAGGAATCAGGAATAGCATTTAAAAGAGCAATAGGGGAATAATCATCTATATGCTTATTACCACACAACTTAATATCCGAAATAAGTTTGGTAAAAACATCTAGATTTTCTTCAATATCTATAGACATATCTAGTCTAAATTTGAAGAACTTTTCAAGTAAAAATATCCGGTTAGGCAAAGAGGTCTCAGTATACAGTTCATTCAATTTATTCCACAGAATTTTAGCACTCTCTAAAATTCCAACCTTTCTAATCACAGAGTCAGATAAGTTCAAATAAATCACAGAACATGCATTTTCATTCATTTCAGCCCTTTTCTCTTCTGTGTCAGAAATTAAATAGGTTTCGCCAACTGCTTTAAAACATTTTTGTTGTATTAAAATACATTTAATTTTTTGCTTCCAAATGCTAAAATCAGATTTTCCATTAAATGGAGCCATACCATACTGATTATAAGCAGACATTTTCACAAAGAAAAAAATAAGCAACAAAAGAAAATGTAAATTTCACTGAAAACAATTTAAATATTTATAAGGCTACAACTATACGGAGCAACTAGCACGAACACGCGGGGAGTATTAATGAGCACCAAACTCAACTTCAAACCCCTTGTTCTTCCGTATAAGCACAAATAAATAATAAATTTTCAGCACAAACACAATACAACAATTCAAACAATTTAAAAGCAGTAATAAACCTAAAACATGATTTCTACACAATTAAAGATTAAATCACTACAAAAGCGATAAAAGGGATAAAAGTCAATATACCGGAGCGAAACCCTAGGAGAGGCGTTTCGACCTTACCCACCCAATTTTAAAAAAATTGGGATTTTTCGGACTGTTGACTGCCTTTGACTAGCGTTGACCGAGCTTTGACCGAGTTGACCAAGCAGTTGGCCGAGTCTATCTACTGCTCCAGGTCCAGCTCCAAGTCCAACACAAAGTCCAACAAAGTCCACGTGCTCCAAGTCCAGCCCCAAAAATAAATCCAGCAATTTTGATTGGGAGCACTGTTCGGCCCAAGACTTCAAGCTTCAACGATTCCAGCCCCCCCCCCCCCCTTTTTTTTTTTCTCAGGCGTGTCAGTAGTAGCCCTTAGTCCAGCAAAGGAACAACTTCCTTCCTCTGCTAACCTTCTTCTGCGTACAGGTCCAGCAGCTACGTTTCCAGCAGGTCAGTAGCCTAATAGCCCACAAACCCAAGGCTCATTCCTACAAGCTTCAGCGACGGATTGAACTCAGCAATGACCGACCTCACTTCTGGGTCAGCTCCGTTTTCAGGTCCGCCTCCAGCCCGTCCACCTTCAGATCTTCAGGGAAGTTCACCTTCGGAGACAAATCTCAGTCAGAAGGATACTTGTTGCAACAAACTTCAACGGCTTCAATCGACTAGACGGACGGATTTGGACGAGCCTTCTGCGACGGAGGACAGCGGCTCCAGCGACGAGTCAATTGGCGGATGCAACCGGCGAGCAACTCCCTGCGGCGGCGAACTAGACCAGCACCGACTTCAACGGCGGAAGAACAGAGACCTCCGGTGGCGACTCAATCGACGAGCAACGACTTTCCTGACCTCGAATCAATGGCGGCGGCGGCGGTGGGAGGCGGAGTACGGCGGCAGACGGCAACCAGGCTCTCCAGACTCCGATTGACGAGCTCTAGCAGCTACCAGGTCAGGTAATGCTTCAGCGACCTCCGGCGAGCTCCAATCAACGGCGAAT